ATTAACCATGATCTGTTCCTCTGTTGGCTTGAGCATTTTGTTCAGTATGCAAAGCCATCGCGAGACCGAAAATGCTTGCTCATTCTGGATGGACACAGTAGTCACAAAACTCTAGAGGCTGTCAACTATGCACATGATCATGGAATTGTCATTATTGTGTCACCTCCACATACCACTCACAAGCTGCGACCCCTGGACAGGACATTCTTTGGGCCTCTCAAGGCTAACTACAACAAAGAAGCTGACAAGTGGATGCTAATGAACCCAGGCAGTAGAATTGCATTCCTTGACATGGCACAATTGTTCGGCGCTGCCTACAAGTGACGGCAACCATGCTGAAAACAACCAATGGCTTTACCTGCACTGGGATATGGCCCTTTAACCCGGATGTTTTCACTGATGACGATTTTGCAGGCTCTGCTGTTACGAATGAACCCAAGCCTGAAACACAACTTGCCCAAACAGCCTTGCCTCAAGACAATCCTGGGTCAGGACCTAGGGCAACATCAGATGCCATATTGCCACCAGACAAGCCAGATTCAGAGCCTGGAACATCCGATGCCGTATTGCCAACAGACAAGCCAGATTCAGAGCCTGGAACATTCGATGCTGTATTGCCACCAGACAAGCCAGATTCAGAGCCTGGAACATCTGATGCTGTATTGCCACCAGACAAGCCAGATTCAGGGCCTGGAACATCCGATGCCGTATTGCCACCAGATAAGCAGATTCAGGGCCTGGAACATCCAATGCCGTATTGCCACCAGACAAGCCAGATTCAGGGCCTGGAACATCCGATGCCGTATTGCCACCAGACAAGCCAGATTCAGGGCCTGGAACATCCGATGCCGTATTGCCACCAGATAAGCAGATTCAGGGCCTGGAACATCCGATGCCGTATTGCCACCAGATAAGCAGATTCAGGGCCTGGAACATCCGATGCCGCATTGCCACCAGACAAGCCAGATTCAGGGCCTGGAACATCCGATGCCGTATTGCCGCCAGATAAACCAGGGTTACATGCATCAACTCTTACAGAACTGACTGCAGGTCCTTCAGACGAACCCCAACAAGATGTAAGAGGACAGATTGAAGCACTTTCACCACTGCCAGTGAAACGCAAGATACAGAGCTGAAAGAGAAAATCTGACTCTTCTATGGTAGTTACATCATCACCTTTCAAGAAAATGATGGAGGAGAAAGGACAGAAGAGATCAAAGAAAACCAGCAGCAAGGCAAACAAGAAAGTTGCTGATGAGACGGAGGTATGGCACTGTTTGTACTGCAACAAATTGTACACAGAGCCACCTACCGAGGACTGGCTTCAGTGCATTAAGTGTAGACAATGGTTCCATGCAGAGTGTGGAAATGAGAAGGATATTTGCGATCTCTGTCATTGAAGTACATATACCTTTCTGAACCGTAATTCCTAAGCACACGTTAAGACAAATGTTCTCTTTCCCAGTTTGTGTTTTCATGTGTATTGTTTTGTTTAAACTAAGAACTTGTTATATTTGAATATGACCAGGAGCAGTTGCTGGAGTGAGTTATTGTAGACACTTTGATAGGAAAGTGTTGGTTTGCAAAACCCATGTTACAATTATTATTAAGTTTTTGAGTTACCTTCTTTGCATTCTTGTGAACAGACTGAATTTTACTGTCAGTAATATTATTTGCAGTTATTAAAGAAACTGGAAAATATATTATCGTCGAGCTGTTATTTGTGAAAGTGGGGTAAAGTGGCCAAGCACTGGTCATTTTGCCCAAACCTACTCGGCAAAGTGGCCAGTGTTTGTCAAAACACATTTACATAGATGTAACTTAATACAGCTGTGGAGGATTTTAATAACATGTACCATAATGGCGTCAACTGAAAGGATGTTGCAGTTGTGCTGTGAGTTTAATTATATCTTTGTTTAGAACCACAGCATTTAGACGAATGTGTTAGAGGGTGCACTTTGCTCGCGGTAATGTCTTTCCATGGGGGGGAAAAACACCAAAACTCATTAATTCTTGTTTAATGCGCACCCCCTTCTACACAGCTGTGGGTTTTTTTTAAAAAGTGCATACTATACTCAAGAAAATACGGTATCCAAACATTAAACAGAAAAAAACCTAAATTTTCGAGGTCATCATGTTGGTAGCAGAAATACGAACATTTGGGTTAATCTGACATGTCATGTTATAAAATTTGCATATAATGACTTATAAATATTCATATAAGTGTTTTGGTTGAACATTTACGATATACAAAAATAGAAAAAACCCTGTCGTGATGCTAGCAGACGTCCTAAAATGTTAACATGGCGCGGTTCGCCCGACCTCTGCATAACTTGTTGCTATTTTGATATCAACAAAGTTTACATTGCCTTTAAAAATATGCCTTGGCGAAAGTTTACGATCTTCTCAATCGAAGAATGTTTATTCGTCATTTTCCCATTAATATGACGAGAGAAAAACGAAAATAAAGATCGTAAATCTGACAGCAATATTTCAGTAGGTGCAAAGGTCACCATTTTGACAGGAAACCACCATTAAGCATGTCTACAATGGTGCAGACAGCATCTACGCTTGACGGCCTTGCAGTGGCGATAAGTTCTATTCCCTGACCAGTCTTGTTTTCACCTCAGCCATAGCAATGGACGGATTCGAGTGTACCGACGTCGAGGTGAACGTTACGTCAATCATTGTGTCATGGAAGAAGATTGATTCGGGGGCGGCAGCGTTGGGGTGGGATTACAGCAAGACAGAGGACCCGTTTGAAAGTGGTTGAGGTAAATCTCAATGGACAGGGCTACCGCGACGAGATCCTCGGCCCTGTTGTTCTACCGATTTTGCGTCGTCATGGCCCAGGCATTACCTTTCAACATGACCATGCCCTGCCTCTTCAACAAAACAACGTGAATGTCATCCCACTCAGGGAACTTCGAAACATGCTCCAGCAGATATGGACAGATATCCCACAGGACTTTGTGCGACGCCTGGTCCATTCCATGAGATGAAGATATGTTTCTTGCATCGTAACCAGAGGTGGACACACAAGCTATATATTCGTAAATTGACATTTTGGCATGTTCATGTTTTTTGTGAAATCACACATTTTCTGAAGTCAGTATGGCAAATTAAATCATTTGAACACTAACAGGAGTCTTTTATCTGTTGCAAACCGAAATTGTTTCCGATTTGGTAAAAAACATAACTTTGCTATAAATCTTATTCATTGTCACAGGAACTTTTGTTGTTCAGTATATGTCAACCTAAAGTTTTCACTTTCGAGAGCGTGGGAGCATCGACAGTGATTGGTCAAATTGTTCCAAATGAAAAAATATCGGCAATAGCGATCAGCTGTATCAAAGCGCTACGCTTATGGTCATTAATTTATTGAAAATATATATAGTGAAATACTACTAAAATAACTTGATAATTATCTGAGTGAAAAGTTTACATTGGATTTCACAATGTCCCTCTGATTCCTTTTAATCACCACTTATGAAATGTGATTACATCAACTAAGTTCCCTACCAAGGGCCATTGTACATTTACAGTAACCTACACCACTTGCAGTCAGCTCATGATATCAATCACTGGATTGTCTGGTCCAAACTCGATTCTTTGCAGACTGCCATCATATAGCTGGAATATTGCTGAGTGCGGCGTAAAACAACAAACAAACAAACAAAACTTGCAGTCAGATACAGGGAACAAAGGGTTGGTGAAGCAGAGGATCTTCCGGTCATGAATACATAGCTACGATTCAGGCCTTCACAACATTTTACTCAAGTTTGGTGCTGAATTTGCTCCATCTGGGTGTAAATAACAGAAAATCATGGACATTCTTATAGCCTTTTTGGGACATTTTATAAATGAATTTTAATATGAGTTATGAGTCTAAAAACATGAAGTTGAGTTTATTGCCTGGTATGCAGTGACTAGAAATAGTAACAGTAGCTGAGGCAGTTAACTCAACTAAATTTCATCTTAATCCTGTGACAGTGTGTCACAACAAAAGTGACGATATATTTGTTTCAGATAAATCCAATCACAGATTAATTCTAACCACTTTCTTTCTTTTTAACATCAAGACATGCAACACCTTGAATGTTATACCAATATTATTTGCTGACTATTGCTTTTATCTGCCACTTTGCTCGTAACTTGGGTTGCTCAAGCTAAAAACATTGTGCTTAAGATACATAGCAGGCAGAGGGTGTCTTGACAGGAAAAATCAAAACCCAGGTGAAGACAATGACAAGTATCTGTTGAAACAGCTGTCAAGTCATATTGCTCCAGGTTTCACCACATGACACAGTGACACATGACACAATGCACAGGCAATTCACCACATGACACAGTGATCCATGACACAATGCACAGGCAATTCACCACATGACACAGTGATCCATGACACAATGCACAGGCAATTCATCACATGACACAGTGATCCATGACACAATGCATAGGCAATTCACCACATGACACAGTGATCCATGACATCATGCTTCAGCCAGTTAGCAGTTTGTCTGATAAAAATGAGTAAGACAGCCTGAGCATTTATACTAAATTTCATAAAATTGCAATTCAAAAGTCCTAGTTACCATTACACAGCTTTTTAATAGTCTAATTCACATCAGATCAGATAATCATTACACATGCTTTGTACTTGTATTATGTTAAGTATACATGTGAATGTATAAATTCTTAAGAAATATGATGTTTGTATGTTTGTTTGTTGTTTAACGCCTCACTAAGCAATATTCCAGCTATATGACAGCGGTCTGTAAATAATCGAGTCTGGAACAGACAATCCAGTGATTGACATCATGAGCATCGATCCACGCAATTGGGATACGATGCATCAACCAAGTCAGCGAGCCTGACCTCCCGATCCCATTAGTCGCCTTTTACGACAAGCATAGTCGCCTTTTACGGCAAGCATGTGTTGCTGAAGACCTATTCTATCCCGAATCTTCACGGATCTAAGAAATATGAACTATAATCACCTGTCACAAAGATTCCAGAAATATACCCTTCCGCATATCTTGGAAGTATGATGATAAACAAGCTGGAGAATGTTCCATACAACCAGTAGAAAAAAACACACAGGAGCTGCATTATGCCTTTTGGATCCCTAACAAAATGGATCCTTCCAAGAAGCGGACATCTCATTGTGGACACAGCTAAAGGACGTGGTATTTTGTCAGGTAATTGCAGTAATTCCATTAGTTCACCAGCATTTCTCATTGACTTCATAATGTAGAGTTGTAGACCATGCTGAAAAATGAGATGTTTCAAAGTGTACAGGCACCATTAAACAATGATAAACAAATCTATCTATTCTTAATGTCTGGTAGCCACAAAGGAACACATTTAGACTTAAATACATCTCAATGGAGTTTCCTTCTTGCAAATGACGCCAGCGTTATAACTACCACTCAATACCAGTCATTAGAATCAACATTGGAGGCACTGATAATGACAATTTTCACTTCAGTGTCAACAAAAAGCCAACCATTTGTCATTAGAGTCTTATTAATGTCATGGCTACAATTTTCAATATATGCATGGGAAATTTATATTACTTGCACATAATATATATAATAGCAATGCTAATCTCCCTTGATCTGCAAGTGTTTTGATTTAAAATATTCAAAATCATAACCTCAGTGAGGTTAAAGACAGAAAACACTGAATTTTATACTATTATTGAACTAGAGATAAAATATTCTGACATAAGTTAATTGAGTACTGTTTTTAGATTAAGAATTAAATGTAGCTGGAGTTTTAGCTCATATACAGCCTAGATATGTAATCAGTAGTTTTAAATGTCAACAAAAGACAGCCACTTGAAAAAAGATAAAGTTGCTGTATAAATGGGCCATTCTACCAAAAGCATCAATATTGACAAATGCTTTTATCGCATATTGGGGTAATAAATTCATCTGCTTTTGGCACAACAATGGAAACCGGTTACTTAATGTTTATATAAACGATCACTCAGCAGCAAAGTTTGGACAATCTAATTTATACAAAATGTGATGAACAGTTCAGCAAATGTTTGATACAAATGCAAAGATTCCAAATTATGCTCTGGAAACGACACTAACTGAAAGAAGGGAGAGATTCACGATGTACCAAAATATCGGAGGTTGTTTTCAGTAATTTTGCTTTGCCTAAAATGTCAGTGAAAGATTATCACAGAACACAGCATATCATCCAGAATTCAAAACTGTGAAGTCTATTTGTGTGTATGTTGAATAGTATTCAACTTCAAAGTGAGGGTATATGTCCTGTATCCTGGATGTATTTATGTTTCCTTGTTATATGTTCCTTGAAAACACATGATAGCCAATTAAAACTGCAATCACACTCTGTGCCAACAACGTCTAAGTCTACTGCCTTGTTCTGTGGCATTTATCTGGACCAGAAGAAAAACATTTTACGAGACTCCAGCTTTGGACTAGTGGCTAAATAATGCTGACACTTTCTGTTAGACATAAGTTATAATCGGTAAATGCAATGTTTATTGCATGTTTTATGTGATGTGTTGTTCGTGTTTTGAAAGTGCAAGTAAAACCACTCAGGTTTGTAGTAAAAAATTATACAGTAGACGTGTATTGCCAAATCACTTTCTTTAACCTGACAGCAGTTGTCTGCCATCTTAGCTGTTAACTCATAAGTTAAAAGGTCCAATTACGTCATAATTTTTGGCATAAACTTAAGATAACAGAGCACCTTCAGAATACAGCACCACAACTTCTTCTTAGGACAATCTCTGCCATAGGTCACATGTCACCAAGACATGCAACCAGTTTTTGTGAGAATCCACCGGATGAGAATCACAACCTTCGGAATGTTAGTCTGACAGCTAATCTACTGAGCTATGTCAACACTGTTAAACTAGGTGTAAATTTATCTAGTCATGCCTAAAATGTTACAGAAATGAACAGAAAGGTTGGAAAAGGTGACAGACACTTACAAAGAATTACGGGTAGGAATGTTGTTTAATCACTTTAGTCGACAGACAGACGAGTAACCCCAAGGCAATGTCATTAGGCAGACTCAACCTTTATCATAATCTATAAGACACAAGTCGAGAGGTCGAATTAACAATTACTCATGAATCACACGGTACTTAATCATTTTGGAGGGAAATTTTGTGACAGAAAGGTAAGGAAGGGAACACTGTAAAATAAGTGTAAGGATAATGTGGATCATAGTAAGAAACAAAGAAGGCATAGGCATAGCTAGTGTTGCCACGAGGGTGAGTCGACTTTTAAATCGTTGCTGAACAAATGTAGCGAGTGAGAGTGGCTTGGGTTGTTAGCATGGTTAGTTCCAGGATTGTTTCCTGTCGCCATAATATTTTACACTAAATTATTTCCTTGGGTCCTCCTGACATTTTTGCGTGAAGAATATTAGAAATACAACTGAAACATTAAAACAATACCAGTAATTGACAAGTGCATTTATTTCCATGAGTCGACATTTCTGCTCTCATCCTATAACATGCAATCCCCAGCACAACGCTTACCATCATTACAAAACCAGGGCCTACAAACTGAATTATTCATTGCAAAAGATGTCCCATGGTAGATTGTGTTCGACTGGCGAATTTTGTATGTGTGCGGCGTCAATAACTATATATAACAAGTATACTACATTTTTGTGCATAATAATGAAACTTACTAAATAAAAAAAAAACAATATGCATGTATGTATATTAGTTCCCATATATATTCCTTTTTAGCCCTATGAATTAAGTTGAAACTGAAAATGTATTTTTTTCGTGGAACAGAACAACAGCTCACCCATCGCCTGTACATGCGCACCAGAAACATGTGGGCGCTTTAGCATATGAGTGCAGGATAAGTATAAATGATATATTTACTTTAAAAAATACATATTTTACCTTATCCTGACTCATACTAATTGCTTGCATCACACGGAAAGGTGGTAGGTACAACCTGTGAGCATGGTTCAGAACAAGATCTGTTCAATTAACTCCTTGGGAACAAGTTCATCTTCTTTATATCCATGCGGGGTACCATTTCCTTCTTGTGAAAGAACGAAATAAATCTTACAGATTCGGTATTTTGCTGCTTGAATGATTAAAGTGTTTAGAGAAGGTCAGAAACTTAACACAATCGTTTTCACTCATGCTCAAAATTACGTAGTAAAATAGGGGAACATGGACTCTTGGTTGTTGGTTATGATACAGAAACCTGACGTCAGTAAGTCTGTGTGATGTTGGGTGACTACTTGTAGAAAGGTCTATCTTCTGGTAGGCACTATCAGTTGTTGTGCAACTACTAATAGTCCAAATTGATGAATTTCAACAACATCATGTGTGGAGAAATCTCTGAGTTAATGATTAGCAATTACAGTATCTGATTTCCAGAAACAGCCTTCCCTAATTGTCGGGATGGAGCAGTTTCTGTGAAGCGCTTGGGTTGACGCTACGGCTCACTCCTGCTGTTGCCTTGTGGGCTCCGAGGATAACTTCTCTCATTCAGAAGGAAATGGTTGTCATGGAGACTTCTGTTGAACTATTCCTGGATAACGGTTGAGTCTTCTTAACTTTTGTCTTCTGGAACTAGTCCTCTGCAGATAGATACATAATGCTTGAACTGAGCATAGAGGCAAATCTTCGGCATCCTCTGACCCAGGATGGATGAGAGTGGAGGGTCATGAAATTGTCTGTCAGGTTGACTTGGTAGCTGATTCTTTGCGATGAAATCCCATCTCAGACAGAGATGTGTCAATGCATGTTCGCCGCTGTCAAATCTCGTACGTGAGAAATTGATTGCATGGATCTCTGATATTCTGGATGCTAAGGCCTGGGGTGAGTAGAAATTTACTGGGCAAAAAGGTGAAATTTGTTTAGGCAGCAATTGTCAAGACTGCTTTTGAGAAAATTACAGCATGAATTCTCCTGTTCTCCAAGCACCAAACTTTGGAAAATCATTCAAACTTTCTGTAGATGCTAGTGACATTGGTTCTGGAGCTGTCCTGTTGTAGGAAGATGCATCAGGCTTTGATCATCCTGTTTGTTATGATTCACGAAAATTTGACAAACATCGGAAAAATTATTCCACCACTGAAAAAGAAACTCTTGCTTAATTCTTAGTTTTGCAACAATTTGAAGTGTACTTGGGTACTACTTTGTTTCCTATTCAAGTGTACACTGTTCACCTACTTTTCTTTATGTGTCCTTGTGTTCTTTGCAAAAATTTGATTTAGACATCAGGCAACATGATCAAAGGAAAAGACAATGTTATTGCGGATGCATTGTCTTAGGTGGTTGAGTGTGATCAGTTCTGACTGCAAACATGATTTGCATTTTTCTAAAAATTTCTCATAATTATCAGGAATAATGTTTGACATCATTTACTGTATTTAGCAGTTTTTGTACTTTTATTAGCAAAGAACGTTCTTGTTATGTTCAAAATTTCTTTCTCCCATTGAGGATTGTGTTACATGGCAGTGTATTTTATTGTTTAACAATGATTGTAACTGTGTTACACTGTTACTGTTTAGAATCGGCAGTTGTCAGGAAGTTACTATGTTTAGATGCAAGTGTGGTGTGTAAACTACCAGAAAGTGCGATACTTTTCCCTAATTGTATAGAATCTTACAGCATTGTCTTGAAGGTTCTAGAAATTTTCAGTAGCTAGGTAGGTTGTATATTGTGGGACAAGAGCGTGCCTGCCTCATCTCTCACATGTTCATTGCTCTGGTACCAGTTTTCATGTGAGGATCGCTCGTCATCCCTGATTCCCTGCCTAGCCCATCTCAGAAACTTGACCACAGTCGTAGCTGGGTGAATATACATTATTATCATGGACTTCATCTTCCCGAGACAAGGGCGTTAACTGACTATTTTGTGAATTTTGTGATACATTTGTTGATCGTGTACCACTTTTTGGTTGTTGGTTGGTTGGTTTCATACACAGTTCTTTTACATTCAGATTTCTGGGTGAACATATTGTTTCAAATTGGGAATCGGTACATAACATACAATAAACACGTCCTCGGCTAGAATGGCTTTTAGAAGCGAATCTGGAGAACAGACATGCACTTTCGGTAAGCACTAAGAAACAATACAAATGTCAACTTCACTTCATAACGAAAAAAAACCAGCTTTCAACTCACATGTTAAAATTCTGCAGTGTATTAGAGGAAATTCTGCAAAAAATGTGATTTCTGCAAGAGATTTTTTACATTTCTGAATTTTCACAAAATATTCCATAGGGAATGTTCTCTGTGATTTA